TGTTCTGCAGCTCTGTTCTGAGGCTGGGGCAGGAAGCTGCTGGCTTCACCAGGTCACCTGTGGCTCTGTCTCTGTTCCTCTGTCTCTGTGCAACTCCGCCTTTCAAATAAATAAACCTTAAAAAAAAAATTCTTCACGCCTCCAGGGAGGGGCCAGTCAGTGGTCCGAGTTCCAGGCAGGGAACCACAGAGGCATACCTGGGGCAAGGGGAAGGAAAAGTCGCACCAGGGACAGCCAACCTAACAACACAGCTGAAAATGACCGTGCCCCCGGGAGGTCACTCACACCCCACCAGGTGCAGCAAACCGACGGCGTGGCATCTGCTAGGGAATGCAGGGGCATTATCAGCCACACAGGAGAAGGAGATGCTGAAAATACAACGAGAACGCTGCAGACTAGAATTCCAGCCTTGCCTATCTTTTTTTTTTTTTTTTTAAATATTTATGTGTTTGTTTGAAAGGCAGAGCAATAGAGAAGAAGAGGAAGAGATCCTCCATCCACTGGCTCACTCCCCAAATGCCCAAAACAGCCGGGGCTGGGCCAGGCCAAAGCCAGGAGCCAGGAACTCCATCCAGGTCTCCCACATGGGTGGCAGGGGCCCACGCTGAGCCACGATGCCAGCCACCACCCCCCATGCTTACTTTCTCTCTCCTTTTGGTCTCTACCTTGCCATAAGGCTGGAATGATCACTTCTAAGTCTTCTCTCCCCCCAGCACAGCGCAAACACTGCTGCTTCCATCCGTGGACAGCAGCACCTACCCTGCCAACCTTAGTTTCTGGTTGTTGGCTACCTCCCCAGCTGGTGATAGATAAAAGGTCATGTGTCATTGTCAGGGCGTCTTTTAAATACCTCTGACTTGAGGCCTACTGAACAGTTAGGCACAGAGAGAAATGTCTCATGATGAGTCATGGGGAACAGGCAAGAAAAATCAAAACAGAAACTGCTCCACCTTGAAGGCGGAGCTCCTGTCCACAGGACAAAGTCCAAAACTGTGCAGCACCATATATTGGGTAATACATGCAGAACCTTTTCTGTTTACATTTCATTGATAGTTTTTTTTTTTTTTTTTTTGAGAGGCAGAGAGAGAGAGTGGAGGAGAGAGAAACAGGCAGAGAGAGAGAGAGGGAGAGGGAAGGAGGAAGAGAGGCCCAGAGCTCCCATCCATTGGTTCCCTCCTCAGACACTCTCAGAACTCAATCCATGTCCCACATGGGTGGCAAGGGCTCATTAACTTGAGCCATCACCCACTATCTCCAGGCTGTGCGTTAGCAGAAAATTGGAATTGATAGTGGAACTAGGACTTGAACCCAGGCACTTCAATTGGGATGCAGGCCCAACATCTTAAAGCTAGACCAAACAACTTCCCCCAATTTTAAAAAAATACTTATTTATTATTTGAAAGGCAGAGTGACGGAGAGAAGCAGAGACAGAGACGGAGCGAGAGGTCTTCTATCCACTGGTTTACTTCCCAAATGGCCACAATGTCTGGGACTGGGTCAGGCCAAAGCCAGGGGCCAGGAACTCCATCCAGCGCAAACACTGATGAGAGCTGATCGCAGGTGGAGCTCCGATATGGGAGCTGGCACGGCAAGCAGCAGCTTTACCCGCTATGGCACAGCACCGGCCCCATCCTTCTTTAATTCTACATCATGAGTAAGCAAAATCTTAGAAAAGCATTGACGTGACTGCAGGGGGAAAGGTGGTCTGATCCACCTTAGGACACTTCCTGGCTGTATTCACATTTATGCGATGACTGCATTGATGAAGGCCCCTAGAGGAGAAGGAGCAGAAGCGGTGGTTGGGGAGAGCAGGGAGAGGCCTCTCGTGGCTTTAAAGCCACCAGGGGAGGACAACCGTCTCCTTGGCGACCCCTTATCTGGGACAAAGGTCGTGGAAAGCAAACAGGGATCAGCACAGCCTGGGGATGAAAATGTCTTATCTGTGGCTCCCAGCACAAACTCAGCAAGTCAGGGATGGGAGCTGGAGGGGCGGGGAATGCAGTCAGGAGGAAGAGAAGGCGAAGTTTGAGTGCATATGCACAGAGAGGGAGCAGGCGGGACTCCCAGAAGGTCAGGAGAGCTCAGGTGCAGGGACTCTGTGTGGGGCGAGTCTAGGAAGGGAATGGTGGCAACACCCATATGCCTTAGTTGAGAATAGAAAATGGCCTTGTAGCTACCATGCTTTGCTCCAGCCTCCAGGGTAGTTCCACTTGAATTTCCCTGGGGGCAGGCATTTGCCACAGTGATTAAGACACTCCTTGGGATGCTTGTATTCCACACTGGAGGGCCTGGTGGGAAGTCCTGGCTCGAGGCAGTGGCTCCAATGGAGAGGCACAGACCTAGCCGGATGGGGGACCGGAAACTGAGCATTAAGGATGCTGTTCCATCCTATGCAGAGCTCAACACCATCCCAGGATTCAAGGCCAGCACACACGCATCAGCACAGGGACCCCATTTCATTCTTCATTCATTCATTCATTCTGGAACCAAGCCCCAGAACAGTGCCTCAAATGCAGATGCTAGCTCCCATCAGGCCCCAGCGCTCTCTAGCCACCCTCCCTGGCTGAACTCCCTGCATCGAGGGAGTGGTACAGCCAGCCCTGAAAGATTCCAGTCACCAGAATCCCCAGCTCATTCACTTCTCCAGTAAATAACAGTATTGTCCTTGGGGGGTTCGCTCAGGGGAATTCCAGATCCGGAGCAGAAAATAACTACCATCTGTGTGTAGCTCCCGGCTACATGTCCTATGTCCTAAGGCACGGATCACCCTGCTTCTTGTAGAAACTGCTTCTGCTAAGCTGGCGTCGCGGTTCACTAGGCTAATCCTCCACCTTGCGGCGCCAGCACACCGGGTTCTAGTCCCGGTCGGGGCGCCGGATTCTGTCCCGGTTGCCCCTCTTCCAGGCCAGCTCTCTGCTGTGGCCCGGGAGTGCAGTGGAGGATGGCCCAGGTGCTTGGGCCCTGCACCCCATGGGAGACCAGGAGAAGCACCTGGTTCCTGCCATCGGATCAGCATAGTGCGCCGGCCGCAGCGCGCCAGCCGCGGCGGCCATTGGAGGGTGATCCAACGGCAAAGGAAGACCTTTCTCTCTGTCTCTCTCTCTCACTGTCCACTCTGCCTGTCAAAAAATAAAAAAATAAAAAAAAGAAAGAAACTGCTTCTGCTGACAACCAGAGCATGAAACCGAAGGAATGTACAAGTCTTGGCACCCAACACCAGAGCTCAATTTCAAGCGCCCCACTCCTGTTTCCTTGTACCCCTTTGTAAATCCCAAACACCCCCCTTCAACACAGCAGCTCTCAAGACCCAGAGGTCTGCAACCCTCTCTTCTGCCGAGGTAAAATGTTCTCTTCTCTTCTCTTTACCCCCAAATCCACTCTTCATTTTCTTGCTGTGGCACCAGCTTTTGGTGACAATTCCAAATTCCCCCTCTAAGAGCTTCTTTCATGGGATCCCTGCCATCACTCTCAGACCTGTTTCTTTAGAGCCTTTCTATATTTTACATAGGGGAGTGCCCCTACACAGGTAGGCGGTCACGCCCAGGTTAACAGCAGTTGGGGTTCCTGTTAGGAAACTGGCGCAGTTGTAGCCAGGTGGCAGCATGGCCCTGCTACCCGAGCCAGGCTCCATCCCCAAGCTAATGGGATTCGCTGCTCCTGCTTCCCTGCCCGCCCTCAGGCGAAGTTTTAAAAGGGCCTGTTCCTGCACACGTGCTCTCTCAGTCCTTCTCTCCTGCGCTCTCTTGGTTTCTCTCCTCTCTCTTCTCCCTCCTCTGTCTCTCTCTCTCTTACAGTCTCCTTCTCTCTTTTTCCTTCGCCGCCCCTTCACTCCAGTCTGTGAAACCCTTTCCCTTACTCCGGTGTCCGGTGTGTTTTGCGACGGCTAACATTAATATATAACAGTTCCATCCATCATTCATGATGCTAGAGCATTTCAAGATCTCCTGGGAACAGGTGCAAAAATGCCTGGAAGGGCAGTACTAGTCAGTGCCTCCCTCCCACAGACCCCAGGGGACTTAGAAATCAGCCCCCCCACCCCACCCCCTGCATGTGCACACACACACACACACTCAGCTTGGCTTTCCTAAGAAGTCACAAGGGACCATCCTGAACATTTCGTAAAAGCGTGTCCCATGACACTAACGGGGTGTCTCTGAATGGCTGGACTGTCTGCCACAGACAACCAGCTTCCCCCATCCTTTTTCACTGAATTTAGTTCAGAGATCAAAAGTAGGGATAGCAAAAGCAAGTCTTATTAAAGTATGTCCCAAGAAACAGAGTAGTGGAGAGAGCAAGCGACACCTTTTCTTCCCAGTCAGGGGCTTTTATTTCTAACGTATGAGGGGCGTCAGCCGGTGATGTGGCGGGGATGCTTTTGACTGGCATCGGTGATCAACATCCAGAAGCTGCCTCTCCTTCGGCTCTCTGTACAGGTGGCTACCAACTGGGCTTTTCTGGTCCAGCTGGGCTCCCATTTCATCAGGGTGCTTTAACCACACATTAAAATGCAAAGTGGGGAATATCAGGTGGGTCCCTGGGTCCCGGCCAAGGGCAGGTCCTTGGTTTCAGCCCTGGAGGGAAGTCTTGTGCCCTCCCCCGACCTCCCCATCACTCATGTCTAATTATCTGCCTGACACAATGACTGTGAGAAGGAAACTGCTGCAGCAGGAGGTGGGGCCCAGAGAATAAAACCTCGAAGCTGAACGCTAGGGATTTCCCTCGGGAGGGAACACCTCTGTGTGTGTGCATTCGCAGGGCTCCTGTTCAGAGCAGCAGGCTCAGGCCCCACCACCACCTGTTGTGACACCAGTGCTGTGCCACTCACCCTGCAGAGCTAGGTCAGATGCCACTGGCCAAAGGAAGGTCCCCAACGAGACGGCTCTTACTTCAGACAGCCCCTCTGGGGCCCAGGCCAGATGCCTCCACTACAAATCCCAGAGGCACTGCGCCCTCCCTCAGGTCGTCATCTCCTAGGAGTCACAGAACACAGGACAGCACCGTACTCGTGAGGCCAGTTTTATTCCACAGGACACAAAGGTCTGGAACACAAGAGCTTCTGTAGACCCTCGCGGAATCGGGGCCCGCCACCCTCCTAGCATCTCCACGCGTTCACAACAGGAAGCACCACAGAGCCCCCACGTCCTGAGATTTCATTGGGATTTCACTGTGTAGGCAGGATTGATTGCATTGTTGCCTATGTGACTGAACTCAATCCCCTAGCCCCCTCCCAGAATCCCTCCTTGGAGGTGGGAGAGGCTCGAAGCCCCAGCCTCTCATCACAGGTGGCTGGTGTTTCACAAACCCAGGGTATGATCCAAGGGGCTCATGTTTAACAAAGGAACTCTTAGAGCCCAGGAAATTCCAAGGACTTAGTCTCCCTCAGGAACCAGGGACAAAGATCAGCCCCGTTCTTTAACAGACCTCAAAGCCACACCTCCTCCAACTCCTACCCTTGTTCAGACAGGTATAAAATCCACTAAACAGGGCCCGGGTTGTTTTTCTTCCCAATTTTCATTCCAGAAATTTTCAAACATTACGCAAGAGTAGAAAAAACACAATGAGGGGCTGGCTCACTTGGTTAATCCTCCACCTGCGGCACCGGCATCCCATATGGGCGCCGGGTTCTAGTCCCAGTTGCTCCTCTTCCAGGCCAGCTCTCTGCTGTGGCCCGGGAAGGCAGTGGAGAATGGCCCAAGTCCTTGGGCCCCTGCACCCACATGGGAGACCAGGAGGAAGCACCTGGCTCCTGGCTTCGGATCAGCGCCGGCTGTAGCGGCCATTTAGGGGGTGAACCAACGGAAGGAAGACCTTTCTGTCTCTGTCTCTCTCTCACTGTCTAACTCTGCCTGTCAAATAAAAAAGAGAAAAAACACAATGAACCTTTCCTTCCCATCACTGTCCCCCGCATGTGCCTCGCCTACCAGTCTGAGAAAGCTTCGTGGAAAGCTCCCCAGGGGTGCTGCATCCATGGCCTGCCTCACGTGGACCAATCTGCAGCCCAGGGAGTGGCTGGGTGGGGCCCTGGGCCTTCTGATGATCACCTGTTGTCTCCAGCATGATGGACAGGTACCACTTTCCACCTGCACTGTGATGCCAGAACGGGTGTCACACACTGCTTGGTTGCACTCAGGTCTTCTAAGGCCCATCAGCCAACCTCGGCCCTGTCTCTAACTGTGATTATTTCCTTAAGAAAATCAACTCTAAATAAAATAAGCTCTAGAAATTATAGCTCAAATACTCCTGCTTCATTAAAATCCATAGTGAGAAGGGAAATGAGGCAAAAGAGAATATATTAGCATTATAGTCACAGATCACAGATCAACTTCAGAGTAATTACGGCAGGAATAATCGACCAATCAGTCTCGAATTGGACCTGCTTTACTGGATCAGTCCCCAGTCCCAGGACAGTATCTTGTGTTTCTAGATATTTCTGGTACCAGGGTTTTGCCTTGTGCTAGAAAGCGTCCGCTCCCTGTCGAAATGGTGAGAGTGGAACAGTGACTCTCACGTGTCTTACTCTGTGAGATGAGGACCCGGGTGGATTCGGTCCTCCAGCTCTAGGAGCTGAGGGCCATGCAGGGGTCGTGCAAGGCTGGCCGAGGTAAGGTCTCCCCGTTGCAGGCAGAACTTACAGCTCCAAAGCATTGTGCCCTGGGCTCAGCTTTGGTCTGCAGAAGGACCCCGGCTTTCCTAATCTGAGCTGCACGCTGGCCAGGGGAGAGTCGGCCCTGTTGCCTCCGTTTCTCCACGAGACAGCCACAGCAGCAGCCGTGGATGAGAGCTCTGGCTTTCTACTCCTCGAAGCCGGGCTGCTACCCAAGCATGAATGGGCATCAGGCAGGGCTTTTGTTTCAGGCCATCCATAAGGATGGACCCTTTCAAATGCAGACAAGGATCAGCAAAGATCTTTTCTTCCAAGAAGCAATAGAAGAAAAAAACTTTCAGCCATTGTAGGGATGTGTTCCCTACAAAGATTCTCTCTTCCAAGGAACTCAAAGTCCTTGTTGGGGAGATGACACAGACCAGACGTCTGTCGGGAATACCACGTGCTCTGAGCCCTGGGATTCCAACAAGAGGCCAGAGATGTGTCACATTTTCAAATATCCTCAAGAAAAGGTCTGGGGTATCTTCTTCCCCAGTGGTGACCTATTTGCATATCCTAAGAAGCCCGACCAGTGCTCTCCTCTTAGGAAAGCCCAGAACTGGACTCACGTCCCCAGAGATTCAGTTTCTCACACTTGTCAGGATGGGAACTTGCATCCTGACAATGGCAGGCTTAAGGAGCTTGAGAAAATTGCAGCAGTCCATTCACTCCTATCCCTTGACAGACTGGGTCATTTTCACCGCACAGAAACTCTGCAGGGAACACAGCCATCAGTTCGACCCTATTCGGCTCATTCCCTCCCTGGCCCGTGTCTTCCAGACCTCTAGCCTGCTCAAAGGAGGAAGACAGAAGGGGCCAGGGCCGCAACAGGCCTCTGACTCATGCAAAGGCCAGCGCTGGGTTTGCAGTCTGTCACCAGGGAGGAGCAGGAATGTTGCTGTTTCCCACGGCGCCTGCAGCGAGGCCCTTTGGGCCACCACAGGCAAGTCACCGCAGTGGCTGTCCTAGTACGGTCCCTGTGGCAGCCACCCACAGCCAGCCTGCACAACAGCAGGCTTCAGTTATCTGTGGCAGCTGGGTGCTAGCCAAAGTGGGATCGACACCAGTCAGTCCAGTATCTCACGGTCAGGGGTCGGGGGTTCTGCTGCTTGGGAGAGGCGTCAGTGAGAAGGGGAGACACCGTGCCAAGAGCAAGGCTGCCTGTCCTGTGCTGACCCAGGCCAGGGCCACTCTTACTGGGCAGAGCGCCTCGCCCTAGGTTACAAGAAGCAAGGCTCAGTGAAGGTTGCAGGGCAGCAGCAAGACGCCTCTTGTAACATTTAGGAGTGGGTCATCTTGACCTTGAACCATGAATTCCAGACAGGCCTGACTCAGATCTTAGTTTGAAGTCTTCATTAAAAAGCTGTTGGTTCAACTGGACATCTCAAAACCGTCAGTGGGGTCCTGGGGGCAACAGGGTGAGGACGGAAGCAGGGCCATTTTCCAGTGAAGGAAGAGGCTACACTTCTCTGGGCAACTCTGGTCTGGGAGGAGACCTGCTGTGGACGGTGTCCCTAGAACACAGACAATAACCAGGAGACCGGGCACCAACAGGAGCTGCAGGGGGTACAGCACATCGGGAATCAACGAGTCTGGAACTGAAACTCTGAACAGTCAACAAAACACCAAGATCTGAACCCTGCCCCAGAGATCCAAGAGCCACAGACCAAGGAGCCTGAGAAAGAGCCTGCAACGGACACAGACTTCTAAGAAGACAGGGGCGCTATGACTCCTCCCCAGAGCTCAGCCCAGAGCCTGGAGAACAGTAGGAGCAGTAGGAAAGAGGTCACCGTGCCCCAGGGGGCATAGGAGGAAGAAATCTCTCTTCACAACACAGGGACCCCCACCTCCTTCCCTGGCCAAATCCCTCCACATCCCATCTCCCCTCCCACCCTCCAGCTCCTCCGGTCCTTCCAGCCTTGGGGACTCTGGAAAGTTCTCTGAGGAGCATCCCCCATGCAGCATGTTCATCTGAGTCCTGGACGCCCGAATGTCCCCGGGCTGCCCACTAGAAGCAGATAGAGAGCGTGGCACCAGCAGAGAACACCCAGAAGGCTGGGTACACGGCTTCGGTAAAGTCCACCTTGAACTTATACAACAGGTGGACCTTCTCGGCAATGGCAAAGAAGATGACAAAGCCGTGGTCACAGTTGAGAAGCACGCCGACCTGCGTGGCCTTGGTGGAGGGCAGAGTTTTCTCCACGTTGTCATGCCAGGCTGAGATCTTGGTGTTGAACCACTCCACGCACCAGGAGGCACTGTTGCGACCAAGCCGGCT